ATGGGCAGATTTTTGGAAATGATGCCAGCAGTCATGGTTGTAGACATTGGAAGAGGTTTTCCATACCAATAGAAATAGCCAGCATGGTCCTTCCAATCCAGTTTTGGGCTACAGTTGAACTGAGGATTAACATCTTCATTTTCTGCATGCCAAGCTCCCAATGTGGATTGAGTATTTACACAGGCTGTTTAGGAGAAAAAGTAATCCTGCACCTAAGACAAAACTATTAGACAAATATTGCATGCAAGTTTGGCCCAGGAGTGTTCATATTATATACAGCATACTTCTGTGGTGACACTTAGATTATGAAACTTCCATCCTGGGGAAGTTGTTCAAGAGTCTTTTCTTTGTTGACTGAAAATCTGTGGTCAAGGGTTTTGGGTAGGGTTTTTCCCAATTTGCAATGAGAAATTTCTTTTGAGCCATGCTAGTAATCGTTACATGAATTTTAGCATTACTTGCATTATTTTATTGTAAATGACCAAAAAAAAATAGCAAAAGGAATCTGAAATTCCAGGAAGGGCTATGCGTAGAAGCTATATACTTTGTCCGTTGTCCACTTCACAGAAGGGCAAAACTCATTAGTAGAAGATTTATACTGCTAGAATTAGCATAAGAATTTTAAGTATGCATGAATCACCACTAGAACCAAAACATTTTCTAAATGGCACAACAAGTAGTAAAAGGGTTCAAGGCTACTTTCTTCTCAAATGAAAAAGATCAGTTTTTCAAAAATAAAGAAATCAACAGTGCAGTTGTGTCAGTTATTCACTTTCCAAGTTAAAGGCAACTGTGATAGTTATGAGAGAAATAATAGAGCCCAGTACTTTATACTGCTAAAATACAGATTAATTTGTCTTGAAGGATAGAGCCAAATCTCCTCATTGGTGCAAATCAAAAGAAGTTGAACAATGCACAATTATTATACAATACTACCCACCACCCAGAACAGAACTTCTTTCCTATTTTATATTCATATATGGAATTAGGCTATCAGACCTGACATTTTAAGTCATTCTAACAATATTGAAGATCCATCCCTGCACTGTAACATTACCTACTGTCTTTTAGATAAAGGTCCTTACAGCCCATTAGTTCCAGTCTTGTTTTATATTTAATGATTTTTTTAGAGTAATTTGTCCTATAATAGGTTACAATCTTGGATCAGACCAGAACATACCATTTACATATTTGGGTCACGGAGCAGAAAAGATTGATTCATATTTACTGTAACTGGTAAAGACTTTTCTTTTAGGCCAGACTACTGAATCTGGGCATACTGCACCCTTTTCTTTATCTGAAATGCATTGTTTGACTCTTTTAACAAAATTATTTGGAATGGTTTCCCTCTCTGTACTAAGTTCCATTAGTTCTCTCTTTTGATCCAGATTTAGCAAGATGACATCTAAAGAACTGTGTGCATTAGATAATATCCAAATTATTATGCTTTTTGTTTTTTTGTTTTTATTTTGTTTTTGTTTTTTTGTTTGAAATGGCTTAATGACATTTGAGTCAAGTGGTTTATTGACAGAATAAACCTAGACATAGTGGTCTGTAATTTCACAAAGTAGAAACATAGTCTCAGTGTACTACCAAATGATAAGAATAACATTTAACTTTGTAATAACGATGGATAAAAAACAAATTACTGTGACAATTTTTCCCAATGCGATTAAACACTCAAAAACAATTTTTTCCAGCTATCTTCATTTATTTTGCTAAGTTGTTCAGACTAATTAAGTATGATGAATTCAGGCGAAAGTGTTGGCAAATGTTTCCGCATCAAATCAAAGTGTACCAAATGACAGAAGTGAGGACAGTAGATAGAAGCACAACAGTGAGAACATTTGAACGTTGGATATTTCAATTCTGCAGTGCAATCATGTGAAAAATTGTGATTAGTGAGAATGATTTGCATGATTCATTATGATTTGCATCATAAGGCATGATTTTGATTATATTCAAGCTGTCAGAGTTCATTTGGTAAGCATAAATGGCCCACAGCTTATTTCCCTCTTATTTAAGGCAGCCTTTGTAGCAACGAGAGGAATAATCCAGTGCTTTACACACCAGTACTTTGCAGCGAATATAAACTGTGGAATAGTTGTTGTGAAACCTGAAGCGTTTAAATCTGAAGCTGATGATCCTCCTGTTTCTTGAAAAAAAAAGTCTATATGTACTGTCTCTTATGCACCTGAAAGAGAGGAAACAGACAGAGAAATCATTTTTGTAGAACCTACACAAGCACAATTATCACTGTATTAAACTAGCAAGAGAGTGTTCCACTGAAGATCATGTTTAACATAAAGTATCTGCAAATAGATTTACTCATTTGCAAGTATTTGTATATTTGCAAATAGATTACTAGTCAACCCATTCTGACAAGAAAATAGACAAAAATGATAAAAAAGGAAGTTTTCAAAATGAAAATTTTTGAAAAACCATACATACATAGCCATCCTACAGGGTAAAGAACATTACGCTGAGCACAGAAAAAGAGTAAGAAATATTAAGCCAAAGAAATTACAGGCCTAAGATAATGGAATGAATCAGAAATATAACTAAGTCTAGTATGCACCAAAGCTATTCACAATATGTCTCCGTACCATTTCATCCTTGCAAACCATCCTCATTTCCACCATGTACATGCAACACTTTGTACATTGCCTTTTGTTTTTTGAACTTCTATCCTCCCTAGTTTTGAAGATCTCATCAACTCTATATCCATTACTTTCTCAGTCTTTCCCCTCAATCCATTCATTCTTCTTTGATGTGTTGGTTTGTGATTCAATCCCCATTCATTCTCTCTATATGACCAACAACTTCCACATATTTCTCTCATACAGGTCACTCACTTTTGTATTCATCCACTGTCATTCAGCATCTATTCATTCTTGACCCTATCTCATCTTACTTTACTGCACACTTAATTAATCAATTAATTACTTAAATTAACTCTGCATTCAATTTATTTTCATGTTTCTCCTGACAAACTCCCATTTATAACAAACTGGATGGAAACAGTCGTGCACACAGCCAGTTTAATTTCTTTTGACAAAAATTCATTTCTCACAATAGACCATATACTATCCATTAACTTTGTACCAGTATTTCCCTGAGAATCACATAAGGCACAGGGACCACAGATGGTCCATCCTCCTCTATATTTATTCTACTGAGTTTCTTAGATTATTCCTAGCAAATGAATGGAAACAAAGTATCACACATTATTATGTTATCTATCTCCAAATAGGTCATACCAGGAAGTCAGTAAGAAATATCATTTCATGAAAACAGTGGTTTGGATTTTGGACTACTGTACACACTTGGTAGATGTCTTTCAAGCCATCTGGGGAAAATTGTTCTGCATTTGTAAACATGTGTGCATTCATAAGGCATTTTCAATTTGTTCTGCAATTATTTCATATTATTTTGCAATTGCAATTATATACTAGCTCCAGGGTCAAAACTGAAGTTTATGATGCATTTGATGATCAAGAAAGGTTTTCACAAGAGAGAGTTGCAAAAGGGACTAGAGACTAAAGATAACTGGTATGTAATAGAAATATTAAGGGCAAATTGGCAAAAATAATTGGTGGGTGGGTAGGATCCAGTAATAGATTGTCAAAAAAGCCAAGCAAAACTAAGTAGGAGATAGAATATTTAATCAATTTATGTTTGGTATCAAGAAATAGAAGGAAATGGAACAGGAGGGGGAGAGAATGACTGGAGAGCTTAAAGTACTCTTCACCATCATGTTTTGGTCCAGATGTGCTGGACTCTAACTTATCTAAACCTTATCTATCATGATCATTGGCTGGGCTGGCTACAGTTATGGGAGCTGAAGTTCAACACATTTGGAAAGCATCAGGTTGAGAAAAGCTGATTCAGAGGTATATCAAGATAGGTCCAGAAGAATAGTGTGGAGAGGCAGGCAGATTAAAGGGAAGGTTAAATTTATCTACATAGGATAGACAGGCAAAAAAGTAATGATTACATGAAGAAATACTGATTTATTAGCCTTACCCTCTATTCATCATGATGTAATTCTCAGTCGTGAAGTCATAAGGATTAGGGGATGCCACACAAGAGTCTATGAATAATGTCAGATCTCTACTGAAGGTATAGAGTGTGACTTGGATATACACATTCTGGTTCAGGTTCATAAAGTAACCCATGTTATTTATTGGCTGTAAAAAGAAAGATGACTGATAAAATAAGAATTCCACATGGAATCTTGGTCCTTGGTTTGTGAATTCAAATTCATTGATGTTGTGGGTGACTTCCATATTTCTGTTGGGCTCCATTTTGCAGATAAAACGAAACTGAGGATTTACACCATTTCCAGAGCTGCTGACAGTATTGGAGAAACTGCTAATCTTCCCATTATTCTGTTAAAAGATCAGACAAAATATATAAATGTAATCATTTTTAAAATATCAGAGATACGGTTTTGATGTTGACCTATGTTTTAGTCGGCAGTTACTGTTATAACCCTCTATTCTCTGGGATAGGAGTCAAAGGGTTGGGTAACTTCAAGGGTTTCACAATAATACAGTTTTGAAATATTTCCCTCCCTATAGTTCTTTTAAGGTAAAAATAGCAGGGATGAGAGAAAAAGAGCATAGTAATCTTCAAATTGAATAGCAAAATCCTGCACAGGAACTATATTAAACCAATGCAGAAAGTCTCTAACTCAAGTTTAAAAATGAAAATATTCAAAAACTGTTTTAAAAGTAAGATCAGGAAAGACTGAAGGGCCCACCTTCCTCTGCCACTTGCTTTTTTGCAGGTGCTACGATAGCAGGCTCACTGGCAAGGCTGGTTCCTCTGAGAAAGGCCACTTAAGTGCTTGTACATTTTTTTAAAGGCTGGCAAATGGGTGCATTATCATTATTGCAAATATAATACACCTGTAAGAAATAATATAGCAGCAACCCTACTTTCTCTGGCATTTTCATGCAATGATATGTCTTTCTCTCTAAGTAAACAAATAATAAGGCTTCAAAAATAATCAGGATTTAGGAGGTGATAAAATTCATTGGCTGGCTATACCTGTTAATAGTACAGAGTGCATCACATCACATCATGCCACCCCACCCCACGCAGTCACCATTATCTATATATGGAAAGAAGCTGTGACAATGTCTAATATTCTGCAAAGCCAAAAAGTCCGTCACACCTCCGAATTGCCTTTGAATCTCTCTAAAGCCGTGTTTTTCAAACTTTGCAATGTTAAGATGTGTTGAAGTCCACACATCTTAAAGTTGCCAAGTTTGAAAAACACTGCCCTAAAGCAATTCAAAGGCATCTGATTAAATCCAATGCCTCGAACTGATTGAAGATTGAATCATTTTGGAGTGTGTGTATGAGCATTCATGCTTATATTAGGAAGGTGGTGCTCAATATTGTACTCCTTTTCTGCTATCAACTAAACCAGAAGTTTTCAAACTTTTTCAGGCTGTGGAACTCATAAAACCCACACACACACACACAGAATCTCTTCTCAAGAGGCAAAACTCTATGATAGGAAATTGGCTGCTTTTCAATACTGTAAGTATTTTCTTTTGTGTTTAGTCTCTCACAGAACCCCATCAAGTTCTTACAAAATCCCAGGATTTAATGGAAACCAGTTTGAAAAATCCTGAGCTAGACTATTTAGACTCTTCTAGGTTTATTAAGAAGGAAATCTCATTCATCTAAAGACCCTTATCACATCACTTAGGCTGTCTAATTTTTTTACTGGGTTAACTGGGTCCACCTAATCATGCTCTCTAATTTTATTATTGTTTTTGGTCCTGGCCATCTGGCGTAAAGTGTTATAATGTCAACTACTTTAGGTGATCAAATATTGGCTTAACATTCCCAGATAAGAATTTTCTTTTCTCCTCTACTTAAGTACAGTTCATTGCAGGAAAAAAATAATTTGACGCTTTATTTTTGAGATTTTCAGTCCTAAACCTCCCAAAATAGCATTCCATTTTAATAAACTATCATATTATTAGATGTGCATATACTTACTTCCCTGTTTGTCCCACAACCATCATATGGTATATAGAATATAAACTCATCACTTGTAATCTCAGGTTTACAGGCAGCATCGCTTAAGTACAAATTACAGTCAAAACAGCCCTTTGAAATGAGATATTGTTTCCCGATAACTGCCTTCATGTACTCCGTCAAGCAAGAAAGTGTTACTGCAGAGGGAGAAAAGAAATGTGTTGTCAGTAAATAGAAGTAAATATATAAAATTGTAATCAGGTTATTTGTAGATACAGATATCATTGGCTTACCATTTTTTTAAAAAATAAATTTTATTTTATTTATTTTATTAAAATTAAATTACAAATACATTACAGCATTGTGAACAGCTTGATAGCTATGTCTACTCTCTAACATGCGGACAAGCATATTATTTCTAATAATTATGGCAGAGAGATACTGAAAGATGGAGATTGGGGAAATGATCATTTTGATTATGGGTCTAAAATGGATAAAAAGCTAATCAAGAACATAAGAATTGGTTTACCATTGGTTAAAATAATAATGCTTATTGTACTTAAGATTTATCACTCTGCATTTCCAATTTACTCAGCAATTAGTTCATATTGTTTTACAATTATAATTACTTATTAGATCATTTCAATATTGTTTGGTGTGGTTGCACACATTAATCTCAGGGCCTTATTAGTTACAGAGCTCCTAGTACTGTGAGTCAAAAGCCACTACTCAGCTGTTCCATCTTTTCCTTTTTAACAGGTTTCCTGTGATAAGGCAAAAGACGGATGAAAAGTTAGGGAAGCCAGGAGTTAAAAACAGAAGGCAATCACATCAGAACTTTGTGTAAAATTCTGTGAATGAGACAGGTGATTACACACTCCTTCAGCTGTAGCATCCTGAGTAATGACCTGCTGACTTCCTCCTATAATCCTGGCAGTTATGTTTTTGCCAAGATTACTGTAGTCAACAGCTAAATCTTTGAGATCTTTTCCATCCTTCACCATGACCTTAAGCAGCAGGAGTTGGATGACTCTCTTCTCTCTAATAACCCACCCACCCTTGTTGACATGGAGATTTGTGGTGGTTTCCAACAACTTTCAAAGCTGTCATCTTTTGTGCGGGTGGTATTTTGCCACTGAAGGAAGAAATATAATAATTCGAATTCTTATAGGATGCCAAAGCCCTGTGAAAATGTTTACTGCAGTAATGGAACAACAATAAAGATTACCAAAATCTGTGGCATCATCCGGAAGAGCTATGGAAAAAAATAACAAAATTAAGATATCTGTTATCAAAATAGCTTGTAGAAGTAACTTAGGGAGCAATTATTAGATAGTTCTGTAACTCAGGAATTGTTCTTCAAGTACAAGGCAGCTAACTCTTGGGAAACACCAGGCTTACCTAATTCTATGACTGCTGGACCAGAAACTAAGCAACAAACCAGCAGTGGCCCTGTGAATGGCTGAAGAAATCATATTCAGGTAGGAAATGCACATTTGGCTGGGATTTCAACCAGATGTTGCAGTGGAGGTTAATGACATAACAACTGGGCCTTGCAACCTGCTTATTCCAGGACTGAGGGAGGAGGTATGAGCAATGTTGTCTGAGGCAATCATATTCAGCTGCCTGTGTAATACTACAATGCTAGTTCAAACACTGTACTGTATAATATAAATAAAACAGCATCAGCCCTTTGTTCATTATGAACATTAAGCAAAACAAGAATGTGTAGTAGAAGAAGCTGGAAACATAACTGAATATGTTAGAAGTCTAAGGAGTATATGGTATATGCTACATAAAAGAGAACTGGAGGTTCAATTGAGGGAGATACAACATCTTGAAATGCAGATAGCATAAGGACCATTTAAAGACCATCATACAGTCTTAGAGTTTACCTCTGCAAAAAGAGAAAAAAGTTCAGTTCAGGTGTCTTTAAAAACATCATGAAAATGACAGTTTATAGGACACAATTATGCTCTCTGGCAACATTATGGCAACAAAACATTAGCTTTCTAGAACCAATATAAGAATACTGATTATGACAATTCAACTTTCTCCACCAGTGAATAAAACTAGTTTCTTGTGGCATGTCTTAGAATACCAGCAACTATAAGGTTTGCTACATGAATAGTCACTGGTTGTTTTGAAATATAACTTTCCCATGATTTTATCTGGACAATCATTCATTTAACATGAGAATATCTGGATTGGATTTTGTATACTGCCTGATGGAGGGGAGTTATCCTCTTTGTTAAATATCTGGTTGGAGCTATCCCAAAAGTGGGAAAGGAATCATGAGCAATCAGGAAAAGAAAAACAATGTAGATTTTGGGAGGGGGGGGTTAAAATAGATTTTTAAGGGATACTTTGTAAATGCACTGAGTTTAAAAAATACTTTTAAAATAAACAAACCTATTTTGATCCTGAGCTCTGATCTATCAACAGATATAGATTTACTTAACATATGCTAATTTATGGTATATGCTACACAGTGGTCATCAAACTAAACAATAACACATGCATATATGATTTTTTTTACATATCACAAAAACATTGCTTACTGGTTGTGGTAGCCATTGTGGTAGTAGGTGGTGGTGGTGGAAGGGCTGTTGAAAGAAATGTTTGCAGTACAATTATTCCATATTTTAATTTACACAGTTTTATTAGCAAGTTTTCCTACTTTGTGCTCTCCTGCAATGTCTGCAGAGTCATCATTAAGCTATCATACTGAATGGTGAGATGCTATGCTTAAGGAAACATAATTTGTTGCTTTAAATGTAAATATAAAACCTGGCTTAAAATTGGGGTGGGAGAGAAAATGAGATGGAAAATTATCTTCTTCCATGACTGCAAATCTACAATTGAGACATGTTAATACTAAACTCCATGTAGAAGGATGAACTGCTGTGAAATTATCAAGACTGCAGGGTTTTTTTCTCTGCAATGGTCTGACTGTCAGCTGCCCAGCCTAGGCACTTGCAGACAAAGGGGGGGAAAAGAGTTTAAATCTCCTTAGAAGCACCTGCAGGCTGGAAGTAGGATTCAAAGGAAAGAAGTATAAAAGAAGTCAGAGCAGGTAGAGAGGAGGAGGAGGGGGGTTTGTTCCAGGTTTGGCAGGAGATGCTACTGGAGTGAGAGATGACTGGACAAGCCATGGAGTAGAGGAGGCAATGGCTGGGAGAGCCAGAGGCCAGAGGATCCCTGGCCAGGGAGAAGATCAAGTGTGGGAGGCAGCTTAATCCAAAGAAGAATTTGCAGAAAAGAGTCAGCAGAAAGAAGACATAGCCCTGGACTCTAGATGGTGGCACAGTGAACTCCACATGGTGCAGGTGCTGGAGAACTGGATAAGATAGAGAAGAAGAGAAGCTGTTAGCATTCCTAACCCTGTGGATAAGGCAGTGTGGGAGGAAGAAACTAGCAGTGAAGAGTTTGTATTATAAATATTAGATATTTAAGTTGTTTAGTTGTTAAGTTCTAAGTTAAGTAGGTATTACTGTATAGATATACATGGAGATAAGCATTTACACACATAACATCTTGTAAATACACTTTGCTTTATGCTTGTATAGTATTAAACTGTACTGTATTCATGCATTAGCTACATGAGTGTGTCTGGCTTCTTTCCTATCTATTGCCACCCTCTGACACTCCATCCAACTAGATGAGGAAGAATAAGCTTTGGTTCAACTCTACCAAGACTGAGTGGTTGTGGGTTTTGGGCCCCCCAGGTCCGGGAACTGGAGAATTTCCATCCTTGGTTGTGTTGGGCTGCACTAACGTGGTCAGACCTGGGACACAATTTGGGGGCTCTCCTGGACTCATAGCTCAGAGCAGGTGGCAGCTGTGGCCAGGGTGGGGGAGCTTTGTATCATGAAATTTAGTTGGCTCTGAACCCTAAAAGTGATTACATTTAAACAATCTTCTGTAAAAATCACTAGCACTCTGTACTGACATGAATGTCTTCAAAATTATGGATGTCTTCAAAATTAAGAAAGCTAAACTAAACAAAGAGGAGAACTGCACTTTATGGACTGCATCTCTCAAGGAATTTTATAGAATGTGAAAGTAGAAAATCTATATTATACACAGATCAGATTGAATAGACTGTTGGAGGAAGGGTACTCCCTGCAACAAAAATCCAGTACTGAAATCTCTGTTCATCTATGATATAATTATTACACATTTAAATATTTAAAATAGGATAATTTAATACTCTTATATTCTGCCCATTTTACACTGAAAGACCAATTTCATGTATTAACTGTAGGTACTCAAGTTTTTATTTTTATATAGAATGGTGTGAGAAGCTCATCTAAAATTCTGTGCAGGCCAGGTTTTGCTTATCTCAAGGAGTACTGCTTCCTGTATGAGCCATCCAACTTCTATGAAGTCTCCTAGCAAATCCAGCAAAAGATCCCAGTTTGTACAGCAGGAAACAAGGAATAAATGAGGTATCCAGGTTTTCTTAACAGTGACCTTGACATTGCAGAATATGTTGACCATTAAAAACTATCTATACCAGTTCACATTAGGCTTTTAGGAAAATGTGCAAATCTATTCTCTCTTAAGTAGTGATTCCAGAATATGTGCAGAACTTGCTTCCCCCCCCCCCTTACATTGCAGTTTCTTATATTAAAGGCCATAATCCCATTTGTTTCAATTCAGCAATTCTTCTAAGTAGTCATTGCAAAAATATTTAATTTTGTGACAGTGGGCAACTACAGCATCTTCATGGGAAATGGCAATCCTGGGCCAGAAAAAAAGGTGAAATACCTCAATCAGATCCAAAGCAAGTTCTTAGGATATTCTGGAGTCCTTTGCCAAAATCAGATTTGGAAGTCTGATCAAATCATTTAGACAGGGCCTGCCCTCCTTGTGAAATTCATTCAATTTGTACACTGCCTGACTCCCAACAATTCTGGGCAGCTCACAAGAAAGCATGAGTACTATAAAATAATAAAAACAATGTGGCAATAAAAGAAAAAACTGGGTAGCAACAAACATCCACCCACTCCTCCTCTGTTTTTATTTCCATACTCTTGACAATCTTAGTTTTATATTTGTAGGTACACAGAAGATCAGATCACCAAAGGGTTCCTCTGTATACTGAAGGGACTAAAATATTCAGTTGAGATGTCTGCTAAATATAAGGCTTTTTTTTTTTTTTGGAAAGAAGGGAAAGAAGTTGTGCAATACCAGAATTACTGATATTACAGGAATTGAACAAGAGAATGATAATCATGAAGTATCTTACTTGTTGTCACAATATTCTTTGGAGGAACTTCACGATAGGTTGCAAGAAAGCCTCTCTCATTCACACTAGAATCACTTATAAATTCAATTCTCATTTTGTTTGAAGAGGATACATATATCTTTCTTGAACTGAAACAAATCTTTCCAAGTGAGGGTGATGTTGGGAAAGGGCCATCAAAGATTTCAACAAAATCAAGTGTGCAGAACCTGGTAATTTCCACTCTGTGGAGAAAAAGATGAGTAGGTGAATGTCTTCAGAATTACTTGAAACTAACACTGCATCTGGACTATTTTTTAATATTTTAAAGTTGCCATTCCTCAACGGCTTCCACAGAGGTTGTTCCATTAAAGCAGGGATGGGCAACCAGGCACCCAAAAATGCCAGGAAACCCCTAAATTCCTTTCTTGCCCTCCTTCCCAACCAACCAAAGCATATTTTTAAATGTTCTTCTTGTTTTGCTATGGCAATTTCATAACTAATTAATTTATTGGATATTATTGTTCTTTTAACTTGTTTTTGTATAATGCTTTCTCTGTTTTCTCTTTTAAAAATTACAAAAACATATTATTAGAAGGTTGTAAGCATCTATAGCTTTGCTCAGTCTATCTATAAGGCTTGACAAATGTGGGATGGAGAGAGAAAAGACAAG